CCACATGACAGGACAACGAGAAATCAATGACTGTTCATTTGTGGTTGTTGATTTTTGCTGCTACTTTGATTTGGTAATATGATCAGTTTTAGACATTACTCTTTTATATACTGCATATCAATGCTTTAAATTTGGAGAGGACTGCAGACCAGTATAACTTTGAGAGGTTCGTCTGAGGTCAGAAAACGTGGGGGAAACTTGAATTGTTTATTAACGATTTAGTAAATGGATCAATTAGGAACACAAATTCTGTGAAGCAGGACATGCATTCGAGTTCCTTGGGATGAGTACAGTTAAGAACATCCTTCATGTTGTTTGCAGACATTGAAATATTGAGATAATTGCTTTCATCTGAGTGTTTTGTTTCATTTGGATACAATATTATATCAATATGCCCTCTGCTTGTTCAAGTGGATGTTAAATATCTCAAGATCACTATTTGAAAAGAGAAGGGAGTTTCTCCTGGTGTCCTGGCCAACAATCCCCTGGGTAAAATTGATCATTCACTTCATGGTTGTTTGTGGGACATTGCAGTGCACAAATTGGCTGCCTCATCCACCTACAAAATAAATACTTGATTGTAAATCCCTTGAAGTGCTTTGATACATCTTGACAACATGATACTATCAATTGCTGGAACTGCTTATGTGAGCCTAGGAAAGAGGTGGGTGGAAATGGATTTACCAAACATAAGCTTCAAAGAACCTCTTAAAGTGACTTAATGTAAAAAAAATATTATCTTTAAACTGATGTGCTGCAACATGCCAGATTACACCGAAGGTCATTTTTTTGCACAGCAGCAATTTACCTGCGATTTTAGTAATAATATTTAACCAACCTGATAAAGATTACCAAAGGTGATTTTAAAAGATTGGCTTGGTCTTTGTATTTGATCAATTCCTTCACCTCTGGTGACTAGAACTATTGAAAATGGAAAGAGAAAAAAAGAACAAGTTCCAAATTTGTTTGGGGTTTAAATATGATTTATATATGATTTGAATAGCATTTAAATATAATTTGTTGGGGGGGGGGGATTGCATTGAGGAAAAAGGAAATTTTGCAAGGCACACAAAGAACACAAGGGTAGAAAGAGAGGAATTAAGCATTTTGAGACTCTCAACGACGTGATAAGGCGACATATCAAATGCAATGATTATTATTATAATGGTTGAGCCAGTTAAATGAGTACTGTATAAGCAAGCAGGTTATTTAACAGGGATCTGAATTAAAGGCTTTTTGTATGTTAAATTAATAAGCATCAAACAAGATTTCAGAATGGGAGGCTTGCCCGCTCCACAAAGTTGTGGACAAATGGAAGAGTTGACCCAATAATGCAATTAAATAATTATAGTGTAAAGGCCTGAATGTTCACTTCTCTTACTCATATTTAAACAGTTGAAAATGCAATTCAGCTAACATTGCAAAACAACATTAAAGAAATGTTTGGAGCTTGTTTCAAGCTCAGAAATTTATTTTATAGCATTGCAAAATAACGCAATGGAATCCAGAGTGGGCATGTTCCAAACATTAGATGCATAGAATCTAAATTTTTATCTGGCGGCTTGTTGGCCAGGACAATGTAGAGGTGAAATTTACGACATCTTGGGATGCTATAATTGCCATAAAATAAAAATATTCCTTACATTTGATTTAGCGCCTTATCAAGCTCTCTCAAAGCACTTCCCAGGATATACTGTATAGTGGGATTAACTGTGTATTTTGTGGGCAAAATATCAAATATTCGGCTATGATTTTATTCAAGATTTATTCTTGCCGCTAAGATATCTTCTCTTGTGACATCAGGAGGACTACAAGGTTCTGGTTCAGTATTTCTTAATGTTTTAGATTTCTTTGCTAGTTATTTACTGACCAACACAACACCTATCTCTCTCTATGTAAGGCCAAACCTGAACACGTTGAGTATTACCACCTTTGTCCTGTAGATGGTGATCTTCTCCGAATCCAAGTATTTGTGTGTTGCCTTTCCCATATTAGAGAAATTAATCAATGGGTTTCACACTGAACAAACTGCGTCAAAACTTAGTATTCCCCTTAACAAACAGAAGAACTGAAAACAGAAGTGAAGTAACGTGACGAGACCATGGGTTTTACTGACTATTCATTTTGACAAACACATTGTAGAAGTAACTTCACAATCATAGTTAGGTTCTATCCCACGAGAAGGGCGCCATATAAATGCAGGTTGTTGTTGTATACTCTCAAAAAATACAATAGATTTACTTGATATCAATACACGCCAGGTTGAAATTTTCCAAAAAGATTTTTGGAGGGGAGTCAGCCGGAGAAACGTAAAACCATGTTCACAAGTATCCAAGTCGAACTGAAAGTTCATGTATCCTTACCTACACATGGAAATTCCAGAGATATTTGTTGCAGTGGAATGTGCACTCTCTCACTGGAGGGTCACATCCTGCTTATCTAATTACGGAAAGTGTTTGGCGCAGGTTGGCAACAGCCAAGACTTGGGGACCCAGAATGTGTGTTGGGGTACTGGAGTCCAACCAGCTTTGTGCCTTATCTCAATGATAAAGCGCTATACTTCTTAAAATCAAATGCAAGGATTAATATTATTATGTAACTAGTGCTTGCATGGCTGTATGTTCACTGATACTACTGTTGGGTGCAGCTGCAGAATTGTAGTGTTAAGTGATTGCCAAGGTGAACGAAGACCCATTTCTGGAGATAGTGGACTCCAGCTTTGCTCAGTGAGATCTGCTGTCAGAGGAAGCCCTATAAACGAAACGAGATATCAGTAGGATCAACCACCACTGCTTTGGAACTTCACTGAAATGATTCATCTGATAATTAAAAGTACATTTGGCCCGTGCGATATCTGCTTCTTTTCCTCCTTTATGAGTCTCACCTGCCTCAGATGAGGAATGAGTTCAAACACCATCTTCGCTTTTGTACTCTCATGATAGCAATCCAGCTTAAACTGGAATTTGCTAATGTTTCTTTCATGATATCAGTAATGTCAACAGTAGAGCCAAGATTTGGGGACTGGGAGAATAAGATAAGGACTAATTTCAGAGAAATTTAAATCACACGTCTGTGTGTTGGCTTGTTCTCTTGAACTTTGAGATCCCCCTTCCTCCCATGTAAGAGCTTTGCAACACAATCAGCTACTTTTGTGGTGACATCATATGGTACTTATAATTCATTTGAAATGGTCATGATCAGTCTGGTTCAATTGTTTTCTCTATAAGTATTAAAGCTACTGGTGTGCAATTCACCTACTGCTTGATTCACCTCAATGTTATATATCTTAGCGAGAGGACAAATTGTAAGGTGGTAGACCTTTAGTAGTTTTTATATGAAGTCAATTTTAAAACTATCCTTTGGAAATTTCCCTATCAGCATATGAAATTGATTTGGAATTAATTTAACTTTAAAGCGTGGTGATGAGTTTCCACATTTCAGACACCAAGCTGAGTGAGCAAAATAAAACTTGCCAAAATATAATTGTTTTAGCATTAAATTGACATAGTTAGAGAACCAAACCCCGAGCATTGTTTGGGAATTCAGTTTGAAAAACTGCATTTACTTTTTGTTTGTAATCATTCTTTTGCTAATCGATCTGTCAAATTTTCATGCAGATTATTTTCTGATCAGGCTGTTAAAGAATCAGTCTTTGGCAAACCTTATTTTTACAAATGCATTACATAAAGGTATGTTACTTATGTCTCAAAGGGCATCAATGGCATTAACAAATGCATTATATCAAACAGCACTATTGCCACTTGAATATAGTGTTGCTATTTGAGAGATGTTCCTCCTCTTTGAGTTTTCACCTCATATCTGCCTACAATCAACAACGAGTCTTACAAAATAAATGCGATGTAAACGCTCTGTAAATAAATAAAAGGATTGTTATCGTTTTTATTACAAATACATATGGAACACAGAAAACACGTAGGACAGGGACTCCAGAGGCACTTTCTTCGGCCGATCGTCTCCTCTCCCCTCTTGAAAGACATCTGACTCCCAATTTTCCTTCTTCGGGGACTCGACTCCACCAGAGCAGCGTTGGCTCTCCAGTACCTTAACAGTACGAGAGGCTTCTCTCTCTGCTCAGGGGTGAGTGCTGGCAGAGCACTGCAGACTGGGGGGGGGGGGAGGGGGAGTGGGGGAGTGGGGGGGAGTGGGGGGGGGAGTGGGGGGTAGTGGGGGAGTGGGGGGGAGTGGGGGAGTGGGGGGGGAGTGGGGGGGTAGTGGGTGGAGTGGGGGGTGTAGTGGGGAGGGGGGGGGAGTGGGGGGGTGTAGTGGGGGGGAGCGGGGGGGGAGTGGGGGTAGTGGGGGGGAGTGGGGGTAGTGGGGTAATGGGGGGGAGTGGGGGTTGGGGTGGAGAACATTACCACAGAGCCCGGTCCTCCTGTCTGGAGATTGCTGACCAGTCCAATGGGAAACGTCCCCTTCAGCCCTGACCCTCCCCTCCCCCGCCCTCCCCCCCGCTCCCCCCCTCCCCTCCCCCCCCTCCCCGCCCTCCGGGGCCAATTTTTTAAATTTTAAAGAATTTTTTTTAAAAAACTGCTTTTGCTTCAAGGGAGGAGGGTTTTTTTTAACAAAAAACCCGTGAACTGACTGAAACTGCCGCTGACTGAGAGCCGTGTGACCCCCCACACCCCCCCCTACACCCCCCCCACTCCTCCTACACCCCTCCCCCCGGCGGCGCGGCTCCAATCCCCGACAGCCGGGAGGGGGCGCACGGGGGCTGCAGCGGGTCCGCGGCCGCTGATTGGACGGCTATATTTAGGCGACGGCTGCGGTGCTTTAAAAAGCTGCTTCACCGCCGGTGAACGGCAGAAGGGGATCCCAGTGAGTGTGTGTGTGTGAGAGAGATAGAGATAAGAGAGAGAAAGGGAGTGTGAGAGAGGAGAGAGAGTGAGAGAGGAGAGAGGGAGTGTGAGAGAGAAGAGAGAGAGAGGGAGTGTGAGAGAGAGAGAGAAGAGAGGGAGTGTGAGAGAGAAGAGAGGGAGTGTGAGAGAGAAGAGAGAGAGAGGGAGTGTGAGAGAGAGAGAGGGAGTGTGAGAGCACATCCAAAACTAAACTCGCGCCACACACACACACAGCAGATCCGCACAGCAGTGACAGGGCGACTCGGCTCAGGCACCGCCGTCGCCGCCGCCGCCGCCACCGCACAGTCGGCTCAGGCAGCACCAGCACCACCCGGGAGTCCCGCAGGGCCCGGGCGGCCGAGGCGGACCGGACCGCATATGGCGGCGATCAGGAAGAAGCTGGTGGTGGTGGGGGACGGCGCCTGCGGTAAGACGTGTCTCCTGATCGTCTTCAGTAAGGACGAGTTCCCGGAGGTCTACGTCCCCACCGTCTTCGAGAACTACGTGGCCGACATCGAGGTGGACGGCAAGCAGGTGGAGCTGGCCCTGTGGGACACGGCGGGCCAGGAGGACTACGACCGCCTGAGGCCCCTCTCCTACCCGGACACCGACGTCATCCTCATGTGCTTCTCGGTGGACAGCCCCGACTCGCTGGAGAACATCCCCGAGAAGTGGGTGCCCGAGGTCAAGCACTTCTGCCCCAACGTCCCCATCATCCTGGTGGCCAACAAGAAGGACCTGAGGAACGACGAGAACGTGAGGAACGAGCTGGCCCGCATGAAGCAGGAGCCGGTCCGGACCGAGGACGGCCGGGCCATGGCGGTCAGGATCGGGGCCTACGATTACCTGGAGTGCTCGGCCAAGACCAAGGAAGGGGTCCGGGAGGTGTTCGAGACGGCCACCCGGGCCGCCCTGCAGAAGCGACCCCGACCGAGCAGAGGCTGCGCCCATTGCTGCAGCGTCTTGTGATGGGGGTTTGCGACCCCCCCGATGCTGATGGTTGTTGTTGTTATTTTTTTTTTGGGGGGGGGGGGGGGGGGGGTATTATTTATTGCTGCTGTTTTCTTTTTTTTTGTTTGGTTCTCAGCCGATCTCTCCCCTCTCCTCTCCTCCTCTCTCCTCTCCTCTCTGTCTGTCTGTCTGTGTGTGTTGTGGAGGGTCGACGCGGGGATTGGGGGTCGCATCAACGAAGGGGAAAAGGGGAGCGAATGAAACGCGAGGGGTTTTGCTGAGAGGGTGGTGGGTGGGTGGGTGGGTGGGGGGGGGACAAAAAAAAAGGGGGCGATTTTGCAAGAGGCGATCACTCTTTTTTTTGTGTGTGTCTTGGAGAGGGTCACCGAAGATTTTTTTTTATATGTATACATATATATATAAATCGGGAAGGGGAGCAAAGAGTAGGGGGTTTGCTGAGAAAAGGAGCAATTGCAAGAGCCCATCACTTTTTTTTTGGGGGGGTGGGGGTTGGGGGAAGGAAAGGGAGAAAGTCTTTTTTTATTGGGTTGGATTTGGATTTATTTTTTTTGAAACACACATTAATGCAATACAATGTACACCCAACAAAAAAAATCATGTCACGTTCAGTAAGAGACGGCACTCTTAACCGGGGAGGGCAACCCAGGCGTTTGCATTGAAGGGTCCATCCCAATCCCAATGTCTGGCTATTCTTTTCTGAACCATTATTCGCCATGTGAGATGCCACTGGGACTTTTTTCTCTCTCTCTCTCTCTCTCTCTCCCACCCCCCCTCTCTCCCACCATTTACATGGCGATCCGGCGGGGAAGGGGAGGTGGGTTGGAGGAAGGGGAGAAGCAGGCTGGAAAGCTGTGGGGTGTTCGCGTGAACTGAAGGATCTGCAAGAGAGACGCCCCTGGAAGACCTCACAGACTGTTGAATATTGAAGAGGAGTACTCAAGGCACTTACTTACTGGCCTGAAGCACTGGTGCCCACAACACAACATCTCACCAACTTGTTTGCACAAGTGACTTGACCACAAAACCACTCCCATCTAAACGGGACTAAGGGTGATGATCACAATTTTTTTAAAAAACAACAAAAAAACACGCTTTTCAAGATATATATTGTGTGACAGCACTGAGGACGGACCTTTGGGACACTAACGTTAAGTTTTTTTTATAAAAAAGAAATGTTTTTTTTGTGTGGGGTGGGGGGGGGCCAGAATAAGGAAATGGAAAGTACATTGTTTTCAGCGATGAGGCTGATCTGTCTGAAAATCTGTACTGTTCTCTTGATTTTTAAGAGAGGGTTAAATGTATTAATATTTTTGATACGTCTTCATGTGGTACTGAGGTGGGTCATTGTCTCAGTTTAAAACTGACAGACGGTCAAGCCAAGACGTACATTTGTTTACAGGACTCTATACTGAATATAAGCTGTGTAAACATGTTTTTACAGAAAGTATTAAAATATAATCAAGATGACTTCTGAGGTTTTGCTTCATTCATTAGCATTGGGAACTCAAAAGCAGACCAGAACTTTTTTATATATATATATGAAAAACAAAAACACTTTGCAGGAAATATTGTGAAGTGTAATCGTTGTTAAGGAGTTAAGCAGGGCAGCTGTTTTATCACAGCAAGATCCCACCACAAACAGCCACAAAGTGAATGATCAATTTTATCTTGAAGATTGTTGCTCATTATTCTTCTGAGATCTTTGATGTCCCGGGTGAGGTTATGTAGTCCTGTAGCTCAGTGGTTAGAGAACTCGCCTTGCAAGCAAGAGACCTGTGATTGATTCCCGACAGGGCAAACTGTTGGGCAAGTTGCCTTATTCCACACGCCTCAGTTTATCTAGCAGTATGTAGGAACCCGGTTGTTAGTCGCTTTTCTGGGGGTAATAATTCCTTAAAAAAATAAAAATTTGATCACTCACTCTTCGACTGTTTGTGGGACCCTGCTTGGCGCAATTGGCCCACAATTCACTTGACAGTATATTCTGTGAAGCGCTTTGGGGTATCTCAAAGACGTAATAAGGGGCTACATCAAATGCAAGTATTATTATATGTGTCACTTCTGATCATGTAGCACTTCACCAGGATTGCAGACTTAGAAGCGAGAGTAACAGAACCAAGCTGACACACAATAGATAGATATTTTGATTTCCCCTTTCCCCCCCCTTTATTAATTTCATGCTTTGAATGCCAAAGCAATACTTTGCAGTATGTTTCATTGTAGGGCTTATGATTAGTTTTGAACTGAATATTTGTGCTGCTTTCTTTGTTTCATGCTACACTATATTACAATTTAATATTTTATATTTGATAAAATGTTAGTGATTCATATCTCTTAACATACAACAGGAAGTGGTCAATTTACTGCAGTTCTTGGAGATCTTAATACCCAGCAAATTCTTAACCATGTGGACAGAATCACAAATTATTTTATGAATCACAGCACATAATCAGACATTATAGCCCATTACGTCTGTTATTTTTCTCCTTATCCTAATCTAATCTTGCTCCCCTGCCTGCACCATATATCTTTAATACACTTATAATACCAAGCATATAATTCCCTTTTAATATAATTTATGAACTCTGGTGGAGGATGGTATTAAGAACAATAAGTTAAATCTTTTTTAGAATGAACCCTTTCCAATTAGCAATGCAGTAACAGTTTTTAAAACCTGCCCTACTGTGCCTTTATGTTTAATCCGAAGATTGGTTTTGATGAAGAAGGCCCTTCGGTCCATTTGATCTCTAGAATAAACCTACCATCCTCCCAACATAACATGAAGCTGCTTTTTAAAATGTGTCTCATGTCCTGATCTCATCTGCCCTTATAAGGAATGTAATCCAAAAAGTGGACAGCAAACATAGAGGAACTTGTTGGTGACAAAAGCAAAACCCAAAGCAAGTGGAAAAAGATTCATTGTCTGCAGTACAACGCCAAGGTGAGAAAAGCAGTTATCAAGAATAAAGTGTTATTACACTTTTGATTTTTTTAAATTTGCATGTGTACTTTAAAATTATTTTTGAATAGAAAAATAACTTAGAAACTCTTCTATTACTCGTACTCATTTTATTAAACGATAATGTGAGTGACTTTTGTATTTTGAGTTCAAAATTCGCGTTCTCTTTGATTTCTTTCACAATCTTGTACCACCCTACTTATATTTGATACATAATCCTTGCATTTGATACAGCCTTATCATGTCTTTGAGATGTCTCAAAACGCTTCACAGAAAATACTGTGAAGTGAATTGACTAGGCGAAACCTCCTCAAATCTTAACAACTCAGATGTTCCCTTCGGGTGGGGGGCACTGCTTAATGTCCTCCATCCTATCTCCCACCCTCATCTTGGGTGCCTTTGTATTGTATATGGTACTTTGTGCTTTCCCTAAACCTTCAGGAGCTTGGAGTTTGCCTTCCTGAAAGATTGCAAATAAATAAATGATTCTCCCTTGTTGATATTTTTTTTTAAAAGTAACTGCAGTATTCAAATATTGAGCAGCATTAATCTTACAAAATAGTAGTTTTCTGAACCACAGCATTTTTTGCCTTTCAATCACTTATCCTTGTACAAACACTCGTGCAAATATCCAGCACTGCTTTTGCAGGGAATGAAATATATTCTGCTAATGCTTCAACTGAGCTGTGCTGAAAAGTAGTAATCCTTATTAGATATAATGCCTTTCATGTTAGGGGGACATCTCAAAGTGCTTCACAGTATATACTGTAAAGCGTAGTGACTGTACTTTGTGGGCAAATTCAGCAGCCAATTTGCACACAGTGACATCTCACAAACAGCCATGAAGTGAATCAGTGGTGTAGCTAGGAATGGAAATTTGGGTGGATATCAATTAATGGACGGGCAATTATAATACTGTATATATAACATACACACAAACATACACACTTACTCACACTGTTACACACATACCTCCCTCTCCGTCTCTCTTCCCATCCCTCCACATTGCAGCTACAGCTTGGAGGGTGCAGGAAGTGATCTGTAACTGGAAGTATGAGGTACTGTGGAGAGGGACGGCTCGGCCTGGGTGCTAATTGGGTTGTGCTGTGGATCCTCCTGAACTGACAGATGGGATCTCTGTTTAATGTCTCATCTGAAGGGTGGCACCTCCAACAATGCAGCACACACCCAGCATTACATTGGACGGTCATCCGAGACTACGAGTTCCAAATCCCAATGCAGGGCTTGAACCCACAAATTTCAGTTGCAGTTAGCAAAGGGAATACCAACTCCCTCCACTCAGCAGGCTCCGGCCTGCTTCACGTCCCCTACCTCGCCCGCCCCACCATTGGTGGAAGGGCCTTCTGCCACTCTCACCACCCTCTGGAACTCCATCCCGCAGTCCCTCCGCTTCGACTCCTCCCTTGCCTCCTTCAAGACCCGTCTCAAGACTCTCCTCTTTGACTATGCCTTCAGTCGCCTCCTCCCCCCACCCTGCCCTCCACCCTCCCTGATCCTAACCCCCAGCTTGGGTCCAAAACGCTGACTGTTCAGAGCCTTGGGACATCCTCCCGACATGAAAGGCGCTATACAAATGTAATTTTGTGGTTGTTTGAATACTTTTTGGTATTTTTGGCAATTTTAAAAAAGAATCAAACCCAAATTATTGCACTTTTGAATAGATCCTTTTGGAAGTGAGTAAATATTGTCCTTGTCGATCTTGGCTATAGCATTTGAACAATAACATCCTGTCTGAACATGTTGCATTTGTGGAAACTGATGTTTTTCCTCTCCTACTCCCCTTGGAAGATAACTTTATAGTTTCTCAAATGCAACAGTTTGCTTCAGCACTGAACTGTGAGTTGAGTTCTATCCAATAATACAAAAGGAACGTTATAGAAGAAATCTGGATCCTTGCCACATATAAAACTATTGGTGGAAAAAGGAGCTTTTGTTTCTTTATATTCAGTAAATATAAATGACAATTTTGGACAAAAAACTGTTCTAACCACTGATGAATGAAGTATAATTCATCTATAAGGTTGCAATATCTCACTTGAATGTCATAAGAAGCATTTCTTTCAA